TATATATATATATATTAAATTAAATACAAAATAAAATAACAAAATAAAAACATAAATAACAACAAATTAAATATAAAATAAAACAAAAAATAAAATAACAAAATAAAATTACATATATATAATTTTATTGTTATTTATATATTTTTGTTTAGTATTTTGTTATTTTTTGTATATTTATATTTATTATGTGTGTGTGTGTGTGTGCTAATGCTTTGACATAATCAGACTGTATATTTGGATATATTTTAGACATAAACTCATTAGGGGAACCTGTTGGCAGCAAAACAAAAACTTTTTGTTCTCCAAACATGCATCTTCACTTTGTCATCCAGCATGCAGCTCCAGAAGGATTATATATTAATGGTAATATATCATGAGCTGGAAATGAATCAGCTGGACAAACTTAGGTTGTTTATATTACTGCTGTCATCCATAACCTGTCGTAAATGAAGACCATGTGCAATACAGAGACTGGTGAAGTGTCTCTTCAGCAAATATCAAACCGATGACTCGTGTGGAAACTGTAAAAGATCCACATGAGTCTTAACTTCAATAGTTTAAAGTTCTGTCCTCATTGGCTCACCCTCATATCAATCCACATTAAGCTTTTCTATACAGTGACCAGGGCCTCAAAAATAAACAGTAACGAACCATAAACGGACCATAAAAGAAGTCCATATGACTCGAGCCCTATATTCAGAGTCATCTGAAGTCATATGATAGATTTCTGTGAGATTTAAGTCATTATCCACTAAAAAAAATTCTCCTTTCTGCTGTACCTCTCAAACCTTGTTAAGTCATGCTGCTTTGGTATTACATGAGGATGCATAAATCATGGTGAATTATTCCATTAACTCTTCTTCACTATGTTTTTGACTTTCCTCAAATGCCTGAGCACATTTCTTGAGAGAGAATCCTGTCAGGTTTATCTTTTCACCATCTTGATGCAGATGCACCAGTAGGCAGCCTTACCTTTCTATGCTGGATCCATAGTTTACAATGACATTTAAATGTCAGGGGTCCATTGTACTTAGAAGAAAACCAGCAGCTGTATGGCACCATATGGCATTTTACTTTGTCATACTGCCATCCTGTTATAAAAGTACCCTCACAAATGGCAAAAACATAATCATCAGTTTAAGGAATAAAAAACATAGTGGTCATAGCACTGAATAAAACAGTTGGTTTCTGTTGTTTTTGGGTTGTGTGGTCACTTTGAAGTAAAATTACACTCTCTATATAAAGAAATGAATACTTTCAGTCAGCAAGGAGGCATTAAATTGATCAAAAGTGACACTAAAGACATTTATTTATTAATGTTACAAAAGATTCTATTGCTATTTCAAATTAATTCTGTTCTTTTGAACCTTCTATTCATCAAAGAATCCTGAAAAATAAAATGTATCACAGTTTCCACAAAAATATGAAGCAGCACAACTGTTTTCAGCATTGATAATAATCAGAAATGTTTCTTGAGCAACAAATCAGCATATTAGAATGATTTCTGAAGATCATGTGACACTGAAGACTGGAGGAATGATGCTGAAAATACAGCTGCAGATCACAGAAATAAATTACATTTAAGAATCAAATAAATGCAGCCTTGGTACGAAACTTCATTAAGAACAAAACCGTATTATGTATGTAAAAAAAAAAAAAGTGTACTGAGCACACTATACATACTATATACTGCAGAAATCATAAGAGTAAGTATGTACTATGCACTATGTAGTAGTATGTAGCTACTAAACTAAAGTCTGGCAAGCATAAAGTTTTCATTTTAAACACTATATCAGCTGCTTTATCATTCCAAACCTAACAAATGTGTTTTTAAAACGATTTTACATGAAAAGTGTGCTTGAGCTATCGCAGAATGACATTTTTAAGTGGAAAAATTGAAATTGTATCCAAAAATAAATCATAGACAATAAGCAGGCATGTTTTCAGGCATTTCCCAGCATGCCACGCTCAGATAATGCTCTCCGCTTGAGGATAGTTTATCTGTAGGCACTTTGAGAGCTTCTGTCATTAGTGTTCGTTCAGTGATTAAAGCTTCATAGAAACTCATCTATTAGTAATTAGTCCTCCGAACGTCATTGAACCCCATTAGTTCACATATTCTTGCTTGCTATTTTGGATTGTAGTATGCTCAAGTCACGCGTGCTGGTGTTTAGATCTTGTGTAGGCCGAGACGCTCTTTATCTTTGAAGTGTCTCTAATTCAATGCAGATGGCTGCTTGCCCTCGTCTTCATCAGCGATGACTCACATACTGTAGGTTTAGGCCACAGAACCTTAATCATGGCTTCAATCGGGTCCTCTCCATGACTTCATCTGATGTCATAGCCCCAAGGCTTTCACCTTTCTGATGATACGTCTCTGTGTGTCATCCTGGTGTTGGTCATTATCAGTGATTCAGCTTTGTGTGTGAAAGGAAATGAAGCTCTATTGACGATGAGGTTGATGTGGTAAGTTCCCACAGAAAAGTACTGCGGTGGTGCCATGGCATCGTGATGGTATTGAATGAGAATAGCGTGGTATTGCAAGGAGCTGAATTATTACCGTAATCATTTATGTGGTTTATACATTATATTTCAAGGTACTTCAATAAATGCCGTGGGTTATGTCTAAAAACATATGGGATTTCCATCCTAGAGGAAGATTTTTTGCTCACAAATTGCTTTTCGTATTTCAGAGTAATTCATGGAGTATGAACATCCCAAGCTTTCTGGGTTTTGGCTTTCATTGGGATTTGTGTTTAAAACTATTTTTTAAAAGATAAATAGTGTTGTTTTTGTTAACTAAATCAAAAACTATTACATGTAGTTACATTTACATTTAGTCATTTAGCAGACGCTTTTATCCTGATGAGGACAATGGAAGCAATCAAAATCAACAAGAGAGCAATGATATGCAAGTGCTATAACAAGTTATATAGTTCAAGTTTTAGCAGTTTTGTTGGGGTTTTTTTGTTGTTGTTGTTGTTGTTGTTGTTGTTGTTGTTGTTTTTTAAATATACATCTATACATTTTTATAATTTTTTTAATTCTAAATAATTTTATAAAACTAAATTAAAATGAGAAATGTTTGCTTTGCAACTAGCTGAAATTATTTGATATATATTTTATTACAGTTATTAGAATGTTTTTATTTAAATAAATAATAATTAAATAACTAATTATTTATTAAATAATTTTAATAAAGTTTGGGTTTTAGTTAACTATAATAACCCTGGTTGAAATAAAACTGATATAAAATTAAATATGAATATTAGATGGAAAACTTAAACTCAAACTGAAAATTGAAAAAGTTGAAAGAATAGAATAGAATAGAAATAGAAATAAAGCTAAATAGAAATGTTTTTTAAAAGTATAGAAATTATTCAAACTTACAAACTAACATTAAAACAGAATATATCAATAAAAGGCCCATTAAAACATTGATAAACACCTTAAAGCTTATAAATAATACTAAAATAATATTTCAACAAATAAAACAACTCAACGTTTTTAATTTTGAAGAGATTTGATAAAGATTTTGTTTTTTGTTTTTAAATGGAAAAGATTGAATAGTTTCCATTGACCTTGTCTGAATTATGTGTAGAAGTCATACTGGATTTAATTTTAAAGGAATGGAATTCTCTGAGCAATACAATGAAAATATTTCCCTGGAATGACAATGAATCGTTTATACTTTTAAAGTCACACAATTGTGTTGTTTAAAATAAATAAATAAATAAAATGTTATTTTCCCATAATATTCCCCTCTGTATCTTCAATCTTGCATTGGTGCTCTTGGTTTAAATATGCACATGTACATGTGAGTGACACTTATTGACTGTTTTCTTTCTTTCTTTCTAGTCCCTAAAGGAGACACTAAGGCAGTCGACAAGGTGAAAATGTCCGTCAAGGCAACGGGTCTCCAGCGTTCCCGCTCCGACGCGGGCCGTGACAACGAGCACCGCAAGCCTCCCTCAGGTCTGGTTAAATCCTCCGCTGGCGGCTCCTTCGGTTACAAGAAACCGCCGACCACCGGAACGGCCACTTTCCTGACAGCAGGAGGCACTACTATCACGAGCGGCTCGGCCACTGTGGGCAAAACCCCCAAGTCCTCGGGAATCCCCATCAAACCCGTCCCAGGTGGAGGTGGGCGCAAAAACAGCCTGGATGCCAGCAGCTCCGATCAGGGGTTCCTCGCGCCCAGTGCTCGCGGGAGCATTCAGTATCGCAGTCTGCCGCGACCTGCCAAATCCAGCACTATGAGCTTGACCGGACGCCCTTCCTCTCGCCCTGTTAGTGGCAGCATCGACGCCAGTCTCCTCACCCTCAAACCTGTACCGCCTCTGTCCAACACCATGCCCACCAGAGGAAGAGAAGGAGGCAGCTTGAAAGCGGCTAGTCGCCCGAGCACCACGGGACCCGTCAACCAAACGGACCGAGAGAAGGAGAAGGAAAGAGCCAAGGCCAAAGCCGACCTGGAGATCAGTTATCTGAAGGCCGAGAACCAGAGCGACAGCTGTGGAGAGACTGTGGAGAAGATCCACCGAGTGCGGAGGACGAGCACTAGTAAATACCCAGAACTGAGCTCTCCGACCAGCACGCCAAGGTATGACCCTCTGCACAAATGCCACATATGAAATAAAATTCACTGCAATCAATTTATAATTTTAGTAAATAAAATTAAGTAAAATAAAATTATATTATTTTTTAATAACAGAAAAAATAAAAAATAAAATAAATACGTGTATACACAAAAATTAATTAAAATGTATTAAGTGTCTTTTCATAAAAAAAATTATTAAATGTTTGTGTGTGTATATACATTTTATTAATATTTTATTCAATATTTAGTTTATTTGATATATATTTAATATTTTGTATTTATATTTAATATGATAGATAGATAGATAGATAGATAGATAGATAGATAGATAGATAGATATTAAACGACAAACTATTTATTGATTGAATGGTTTATTTATTTAAATTCTATTTTTAATTAATCAACTGGTATAAAAGTATACATTTATATCTATATTATATCTTGATGATTTACACAGCTACATGACTCACTTAATTGATAGATAGATAGATAGATAGATAGATAGATAGATAGATAGATAGATAGATAGATAGATAGATAGATAGATAGATAGATAGATAGATAGATAGATAGATAGATAGATAGATAGATAGATAGATAGATAGATAGATAGATAGATAGATAGATAGATAGATAGATAGATAGATAGATAGATAGATAGATAGATATTAAACGACAAACTATTTATTGATTGAATGGTTTATTTATTTAAATTCTATTTTTAATTAATCAACTGGTATAAAAGTATACATTTATATCTATATTATATCTTGATGATTTACAGAGCTACATGACTCACTTAATTGTCCCCAATTTTAGTTTTTCTATAAAATTATTTAATTTGAAAATATCATGCATTGATTGTTATGATTTGTTAAATATTTTATCAAATATTTTTACAGCTAATGCTTCTGGTCTCTTGCATTGTAATTTAAATATTTAACAAATTATAACAATCTCTCCATGATATTTTCAGATAATAATTGGGGACAACTGGGGAAAATGAAGTGAATCCAGAGGCTGTGGGGCACTTCAGAAATAAAATGAGGGGGAAATATATAAAATAAAGTTGTTGGTTTTTTTGTTGTTTTTTTTAGAAAATGGGCATAGGCAACATTCTTGCAGGAAATACTCTGTAGAAGCCCTGTGTGTTTATATTACGCAAGTTATGCTACTCAGTTATTTAAAACCCTTTCTGGAAACGGACATCAAGAGCCTTTGAGGTTGATTTCATGGTTGGCAGAGTGTTCTTCTTTGGATGCGCTGAAATCCCTTCAGTACTTGATTACAGAAGGTCTTTGAGTTCATGATGTTTCTGATGATGACTTGGTCTTTGACTCTAACAGGTTGTTGAGCAGTAAGTCTCTAGTTCATCCTCCCAGCCTGGCTCACCTAGACAAGCTCAACTCCAACAGTCTGGACTCCTGTATCACCATCCATGACCTTCCTCCAAAGATCCCTCCCTACTCCAAGCTGCAGGACCTGGCGGGCTCCCGCGTGTCCCCTCGACTCACCCCGAGCCCCGCACCGGTGCTCCACATCGACTCTCCCAGCTGTTTCTCAGGCCAGGCGCTGTCGGTCAGCAGCTCCCCCATCCTCTACCCCAAGATGTCCGGCCTGCACCGCAGCATGGAGTCGCTGCCGCTTCATATGAGCATCCCCGCCAAACCGGATCTGGGACACCGGGAAGAAACCAGGAATACTGGGACGTGGGGCGCAGGCAGTCGGACGTCCATCACTTTGGGCGACAGGTGAGTTTGGGTCTGTTTATTAGTTGTACGATGTTTAAGTGAGCAAAGTAGAGCAGAACCATGATTTTATATAGAATAATATATATAGAATCAAATCTATTAAATCATTAAATTCATTAAATCCCTATTAAATTTTAATCCTGGCCAATCTTTTATTTTATTATAAACTATTATATCATTTATTCGTTATTGTACTATAATATTATTATTAATTACTATGTTAATTATTAATATAGCATTTTTATTCAAACAAAGATTATGAAACATAAATATAAAAATATATTTATTAAAATATACATTTATTTTTATATCAAATTAAAATTATACATGTAAATAATAATATATATCTCTGTTTATTTAAGAACAAATATATTAAACCTATTATTATTATATAATGTTCATTTTATATATATTAAGGATGGTAAGATTAACCGATTCCCATCGGTGCATCAGCATAAAAGTTATCGATTTAAAAAAGTGTGCATTGGATACAAGTTGGCATTTGTATCGCGATGCATCGTTTCTAACATATTTGCGTTGGTAAAAAAAAAACAATTTATTTATATATATAATTATAAGTAGATGCACTTTACTTTTATTATTTAAAAAGTTACCAAAAATTTGTGACCAATATTTTATATGTAGATATTTCTTCTCTCTAACTGTTTCTCAATGCTGCTACGTGAATATGACGTAGCCTATCACAACACTACAGAGACCGAGACGTGTCCTGAGAGTCACATAAAATATAGATTAACATGGCAGAGGTAGAGCTGCATCTTCCACCAAATAATTATAATAAACTAAAGAAATAAAAGCGAACTATCTGTACCATATTGAATTGCATAGCATCATATTTTTTCAATTGCATGCATTGCATTGAATCCAAATGAGCACAATAAAATATTCAAATGATGCTCATGTCATTTGCTGTGAGAGAGTCTCGCCCTGCTGGCACAAGAGGGAGAGATTGAACTAATTAAACAATCAATCAATCAACATTTATTTATACAGCCCTTTACAACTCTCAAGGTGAACCAAAGTGCTTTCCAATTAAAACAGAGCAATAAAAACAAAGATATAAGCCAACAACAAACAATCAGATGAACATTTTGGACTGGATAGCAGTGTTATGCTAAGCGTGTTAGTTCGGGGTGAGGTATTTATACTGTATGTGCTGCTCTCTACCCCTCCCAGTTTACAAACTGATAGGAACACCTTTCCCAAGAAAGGATTAAGGTACATCTATTTTATCTCAAATTAACTAGTACAGCAATGCAGTGTAGGATTGTTCTGACGTATGTCATGCTTTCTTCCGCAGTCACTGTGGCAGCGGCCAGTCAGAGGGAGAAGTGAGGGAACGCCGTCATTCCCACACGATCACGAGCATGACGGATTCAGAGAGCCCGCCGCAGCTGCCCTCACCGACACACGTGACGCAGCCCTTCCTGGGAAAAACACTGCCGACCAACGTGGGTGAGTGAAGTCAAACACTTCTCAGGTGTGAGATTTTACAGATAAAACCTCAGCAGATGCACATGACACATGAGATTAATCACGCTCTCTCTCCACAGTGGCACCAATCCCGAGTTCAGGCTCCGGTTCCCAGATCACACGCTCCAACAGCATCCCGGCGAATGACATGGGATACGAGCTGTACGGCACGTCTCCTCTGGGCAGCTCTCTGTCAAAGAGCATGATGAGATCTGGATCCTTCAGAGAGCCGAGTGAGGATGGTGAGCCGTGGACAGTGTTCAAGAACCTGCCCTAACCTACTCCTGGATTTGATGCAACATGCATAAATGCTTTGTTTCGCTAGTGTTCAAATGCATAGATAACAACTCAAACTAACTTAAATGTTTTATCTGTTGCTTTTGATGGAATAGAGAGTTTTATCATAACTATAAAAGCCCAAGTTTTATAGCTTTTAGTGTTTTCTGGTCCAAGAATTTGATGTTGTTTGATCTCATTTTTACTGATAGCTCAATAACAGTATTATCTTAGAATTATTTATATACTTTTGTAGTATTTATTAATATTTGAATTAGCTTTTATTTTTAGATTTGCAGTTTTAGTTTTAGATATTTTCATACTTAAACGTATACCACTTAGTTGCCAATGCAACATTTTTATTAATTTTGATTAATTAATCAATTTTATTTTTAATTTTTTTTTTTTCGGTTAATTTTGATAGTTCAAATTAAACTTCTTTCAGTTAGTTGCCAAATAAAAATGTTTTTTTCGTCTAATATTTATATTTCATTTCAGCTTTAATTTCAATTGCCAAAAAAGTTTTAGTTTTAGTTAACAACACTGCTTCATGGCCAAACAAGATATCTAATAATGAAATTGAAACTGAGCCTGTCTTCTATCGTAATACCCATTCCTTGTCTTATTTTGAATAATTCATAAGTGCATGTTATTCTAATCAACAATCAGGTATAGATAAACATCATTCAAGTCACTACCTATGTTTTTCATGTCAAATATCTTTATTCTTTATTATCTTTATTTACAGCATCTTTATTTCCTTTAGAAATAGACCATATTATACAAATAAAATGCAAACAGAGTTTCTTGTTGCCTTAACAGCATTAACTTTTCTATTTTAAATTGGTGAACGTGAACCAAACTATGGCTCTAGCCTGTATTTGTGTGCAATTTTGCTCTCTGTCTCTCAGTTCATGGATCTGTGCTGTCTCTGGCCTCAAATGCCTCATCCAACTACTCGTCGGTGAGTAGAAACTGATGTAACACGTTAAAATCTGATTGGCTCTTTATTTTCTGAAATTTCTCTTAACAACCAGCCTTTTTCCCTCTATTTCCTGTCCTTGCTCACTCTTTCTTGGTCTTTATCGCCATTTCTGAATCTTGCACTCTCAGACTGAAGAGAGAATGCAAGGAGAGGTAAGAATCTTCTTATGCCGCTGTCGTCAGCTTGTCTTTATCCTTCTTTTCCTCTTATTTTCTGCTATTGCTGAAGAAAAAAACACATTCATATTCACTTTTGATAGCAACTCATTCTGCAATATAAACGACATGTAAAACAACCAACTGTAGTTCTTTTTTAATGTGACGTCAGTGTTATACTAATTGCATTACATTTTAATATTAAACCTTTTGCTGACCATAAATGTCTGTGTTTTGAAAATACCTTTGATTTTTAATGTTTCTAACTCATTCTTCCATCTCAGCAAATCCGGATACTGAGGCGTGAGCTGGAGTCGTCTCAGGATAAAGTGACCAGTCTGACCAACCAACTCTCAGCAAATGTACGCGCAAAACACACCATTAAATACACAATTGCAGAAAAAAAAAACAATGCATTTCATAATATTTCTAGTGTTTTAAATCCAGATCACTTCTCACTGCAAGTTTCCACTAACCCCAGCTGCCTTCAGCTCACCCTGCATTGATCTGCTGCTTCAACACAACTGGCTTCAGCAATACACTCACACACTTTGGTGACTGTCAGATCTGGATGGGATTAGTTTTGCCAGAGGAGTTTTTGTGATTCGGATGGTATTAAAATCAGTAATTCTATAAAACACTAATCACCCCAGGGAAGACTAGTCCTGTCTGAGTAGGGCTCTACAGTGTGCTTTATATGGGTGAAAATAAAATTGCTGTCATAAAGGTGCAAATGCACTTAAAAATCACCGCCAGAGGGCCTTTAATGAAAAGTTTTCATTTCTGATGCTGATACCAGTGCATATATAAATGTGTGTGTGTGTATGTGGGATGGAGGGTTGTGACCCTATAGTCCTAACGGCACTGTCCCTCTCTCCCTGGCTGATGTCCTGTCCTGGCCTCTGATGACTGACTGCTGCCTGGGGTTGCTGGCTGTTGCAGACAGGCCAGGTTTGTTGGACTGTCACTCACAGCCACGTCCGTCGCTGTTGCATGTGTCTGTACCCCTCGCAGGCCCCCCGCCCTTAGTGTGGCGCTGACTGATGATGTGGAGTGGAAGTCATTGTTTGCCCTGTGGCTTTCAGGTGTCATCTGGCCGAGTGATGATGATGATTATGTCATAGTGTTGATGCTGGGTGCTGTATGAGGGAACCACAAACACAAACACAGACATAGTCTTGAATGTGCAATAATTGAGTATTAAAAGTTGCTTCTTTATCTGAACAAACACTTAACCCAAATTATTTAATTTTGTGTGTAACTTGTATCGCATAATTTATGCTATGTACATGTCCACCCTGGAAAACCACCTAACAATTCCCTGGAAACCTCCCAGAACATCGTAGCAACCACATAACAACACCTTAGCAGCCACTCCGAATACCCTAGGAACTGCATAGCAACACTACTGTGGCAACTACTGAGAAGCAACACACTAGCAACCACCCAAAACCCTTGCAATATCATAGCAACCACCTTAGTAACTACCTAGCAACCACCCAAAACACCTTTGAAACCATTTGCAGTGCCATAGCAACCACCCTAGCAACTGCTTAATAACCACCTAGAACAACCTAGCAACCTCATACCAATATTCTAAAATTATTCAGAACACCTTAGCATCCACATAGCAACGCCCTAACAGCCACTCCAAACACCCTAGGAACTGCATAGCAACGTGGTAAAAACTACCCCAAACACCTTATCAGCTGCATAGCAGTATTCTCACAACTGCTGAGAATACCTCAGAGCAACACCCTAGCAACCACCCAAAATCACTTGCCATAGGACCCACCTTAGTAATTACCTAACAATTACCCAGAACACCCTAGAAACATAGAAAGAAACATACACAACATGCAAACAACCACTTAGCAACACTTTAGCAACCACTGAGCTACCAGTTACCACATAGCAATGGTTGGCAACACCCTAGCAACCACATGGCAAATCCAATGTACTGATAATCACTGAGAACACATTAGCAACCACATATTAATACCTTAGCAACCACCCAGAACACCCTAGCAACTGCACAGCAACATGATAAAAAAACATTCAGAACACTTTTGCAACTGTATAGCAACACCCTAATGCATTAGCAACCACATTGCAATGCACTGGGTAACCATCCATCACACTTTAGCAACCACATAGCAAACCTTTAGCAACCAGGTGAACATTCTACAGCAAACACCTAGCAAAACACACTAATAATCACTCAATAAACACTGTAGCAACCATATAGAAACACCCTGACAACCACTGAGAACACACCTCTAGAAACCACCTAGCAACACACTAATAACCACTCAGAACACCTTAGCAACCACATAGAACCACCTAGCAACACATTAATAACTGCTCAGTACACCTTAGCAACCACATAGAAACACCCTGATAACCACTGAGAATACACCTCTGGAAACCACCTAGCAACACACTAACAACCACTCAGAACACCTTAGCAACCGCATAGAAACACCTTGGCAACCACCCACGACAGCCTAGCCAGATTAATTCCATCGTCTCTCTTTCACACACACACTGTCCTGTAGCACGTGTGTCGTCACATGGCAACCTGATGGTTTTGTCCTTTCCAGCTTGCAGGTCGTCCCCTGTTCACCCTCCATCCATCCATCCATTTCCACAGCTGTTCTTCCCGTCCTTTCCCGTCGCTCTTTCCCAGTCCAGATGGAGACACGCGTGTCTTAGTGTGTGTGTGTGTGTGTGTGTGTGTAATGATTGGTAGCGTCTGTCAGACACTAACCTGCACCTGTCCCTGTGTCTGAAGGCTAACCTGGTGGCAGCGTTTGAGCAGAGTCTGGCCCTCATGACGGCACGACTGCAGAGTCTGTCAGTCACTTCTGAGCAGAAGGTCAGTGTACACAGAAACAACACACTGCAGATTTACATGTGTTAGATGTGACATTTTATTACCCATCATTCAAGCATTGTAAAATTTGTGCAGTTGCCTACTATATAAAATTATTATTGAAATCAGATATTTTTTAAAGGGGTCGTATGATGCGATTTCAAGTTTTCCTTTCTCTTTGGAGTGTTACAAGCTCTTGGTGCATAAAGAATATCTGTAAAGTTGCAAAGACTAAAGTCTCAAATCCAAAGAGATATTCTTTATAAAAG